AGACTCACCATACCCCTGCACCACGGGGCAGCACATGGTGATCTTGAGGAACTCCTCCACGTGGGGGGCAAGAGGTGCAGCACCGGAGCAGATGGCCTTCACCCGCCCTCCCAGGCGCGCCTTGACCTGCACAGGGGAGATATGAAAGGGAGATGGGGAACAGGGTGCAAGAGAAAGCAGGGAAAGGAAAATCCTTAACAACCCACCAGGGCTATTGACCAACACTGACAGACAATGACAGTGCAATAAATTGCTTTCAAACAAGAAGCAGCAGAGGATGCCTCGACATCAGGCAGAGAACGTTTTCAAAGGCGATGGCATACCTTGTTGAAGACAATCGCGTCTGAGATTGGAGCGGCAAACTGCACGGCCACGCCTGCCCGGATGCGAGCCTGCTTGCGGCTGAAGGCGAAGTCAAAAAGGAACTTGCTGATGCCCCCTGCTGCTTCCACCTTCGCCTTCACGCCTGGCAGGCAGCAGAGCGATGATAAACGACAAGGTCTATGAGAAACGCAGAACGCTGAGATGGCAGTGTGATGCAGGGCAGGCATAGAGAGAGACAAGCACAGGGAACCAGTGCGACAGCAGAGGAGGATTGTGCTTGATAGTGGTGAGGGACCAGGAAAGTCGTAGTCGTGAGGGGGTTGCTGACCAGCATAGATGCGGTCAAATATGCTAGGGACACCACAGAAGCACGGAGAGGGGAGAGGGGAGAAGGAAGTGTGGAGTGGGGAGTGGGAAGAGGGGAGAGGGGAGAGGGGAGAGGGGGGTGCTGACCAGCGTAGATGCGGTCAAAGATGCGAGGCACGCCACAGAAGAAGGTGGGCTTAAGCTCTGCAATGTCCTCTGTGAGCACCTTGACGTCCTGGAGAGAGGCAGGACGGGAGAAAGGGTAAGGCCGAGACATCCCAGTAAAAGAGCAAAAGGCACGTGCTCTGATCTGACTGTGGACCTACACAGCCCAAACCATGCTGGCTGTCCTACTCATGCTGGCTCTCTTTCTCATGCTGGCTCTCTTTCTCATGCCGGGTCTTGCCCATGCTGGCTCTCTTTCTCATGCCGGGTCTTGCCCATGATGGCTCTTGCTGTGGCAAACGAACAGAGACTGCCCTGCATGTGCATAAGAGGAGGACTCACCCCGCGCCAGAAGCCAATGGCGCCACCGAAGTAGGTGATGAGCTCTTCGGCTGAGCGGTCAAAGATGTGAGCCAGGGGCAGGTAGGACAGATACACCTCATCTTCGCCGAACTGTGAAACACGGGGCAAATGAAGCCCAATATCAGGAACCACAAGCTGCTGCTATCTCACAACTACTATTGCCAGGTTGAATCGGCAGATACGTAGACCGGCACAAAGGCTGACGCTGGAAGATTGGGTTGACGCATTTTGCTGTTAAAAGCACCCGCATGTGTTGCTGTGACTGACTGTATGGAGCCGAGTCTTACGTTGATGTTATTGTATGCAACAAATTCCTTATTCCCGGCGATGGCAGCCAGCAATGCCCTGTGTGTCAAGAGAACGCCCTTGGGCTCGCCAGTGGTGCCTGGAGTGGGAAGAGGGGGAATTAGGGAGGGTACGCAGGCATGACAATTTGTTAGTGGCAACAGTGGTAGTTTCTGTATTGACAAAATGTGGCACAAATGGGCATACCTGAAACTGAACATGCTACATCCAATGATGCAACAAGAAGTACCTGAAGTGTACATGATCGTGCAGATATCCTCTGGCTTTGGAGGGATGGGCTCTGCAGGATTCGACTCGCCCTGAAAACATCCAGAAGAAGGCACCAAAAGGTGTGGTGCTCCAAATCGATAATCGTTTCTCCTGCTACAATTTGACTGCAATCATTGTCCTAAAGGCACTTTCAGAAAGTATTAGATAGACCCCCTAGCTGGTCCACATGTGTTCACTGAAAGAGAACGGCAAATCTGGCTGTTCTGCAAAAACCGGAGCAGGTCTGAAAAAGAACTGCATCCAGGCACCCCCAATGCAATCTCACTGAATGGTACCTCCTTAAGAGCCTCCTCCCATGAAAGCGCTTTAATGCCAAGGTCCTTCAGCGCCTTGCCTGATTCCTCATCCACGGGTCCCATGCTTAAAACAGCTGCCAGAAACAAAGGAGGATTTCACACATACCCACAGGTGACAGAAGAGCCTTTTGAGCAGGAGGGCGTTCGAAAGGGTTCATTGAAACGTGGGAAAAAATCAAAACATCAGCATGTTAACGAGGCGAATGGCAGATAAGAACACCACTTACTCTTTACATTCTCCGTGCACTTCGGAAGACTCTTGAGAAGCTGCGAATTAAAAGAGAACGACGCGACCGGATCAGAAAGTCACAAACGATGCACATCAGAGCAGCACAAAGGGTCAAGCTATAATAAATTAGAAACGTGCGCAGATTTGGAAGCAGTTTCAAAGCTATAACCTTCCAGCTGGTTGGGTCGCACTGGACTAGGAATCTCACCGCAGGGAGATTGGCAGGCATGACAGCGACCAGAGACACCTCTGCGTGGTTAAGAATAAACTCCACGGCTTCAGGGCCTGGACATAAGACATGTCACACGGAAGGGGTATTATAGGGAATGGAAGTGAAATTATGCAGCAGAAATGCGAACGTAAGTGAGAGGAGCTCGCTGGGGAAAAGTAGATGAGGTTGCTTCAATGATATGTTCAGGAGCAAATTGACCTTCACGACATAGTGGAACCTCCCAACGGACACGTACCAAGGGTGTCATAGAGTGGCACGCAGTGGATCGACTGGCTGTTGCATGCCTGCACAAGGTTACAAACACTCGCAGCACAACATCAGCAGGTATTCTCCTCAGCACAGCTGATGCGGCTAAATTATCAGGGACTGAGAAACGGATGCTCGCGTGAGAAGAAGGAGCAATGCTTCATAAATGTTTGCGAGAAACAGGCGAGGCGCACCTCCATGGTCATGAACCACTCTGGCGAGTTGATCCCATAGATGCCAACACGGCTTTGCTGCGTAAAAGAAATGCACGCGGATAAGACCTAGTTGGTGAAAACGGCGTTGCTATTACTTTATTGTGAAAAAAAAATCCGAATACAGAAAATCTGAGCATCTGGTGAATGAGAGAATCGTATTACAGGTTGAAGACCGTTGAAGCGAAAAGCAGACGCGATCTTCTTGACCGTAGCGCCAACCTCCTCATACGTTTGCCATTCGTACGGACCCGCCTGAAAGGATATTAATGTGGAACAGATACTTATTACAAGAAACTGTGAAACATTGCAGGAATTGAATTAATATTAGCTGATGTCGACACTGCTATCATCAAAGGTTACTGGTATGATAGAGCGATAGCAACAGCAAAAAGGAAATTGTTACGTAATCATGGCGAGTAAAATGCTTACCACGCCGTTGACAACTGATCGCTTTCCAAGGAACTTGTTCTTCGCGAATTTCTTGACGGAATTGCTGAAATCATCACACTTTGAAGGTTAGAGAATCGTGCAAGACGACTGACCTAAATGGATTTAAGTTGAAGAGCAGATGACTCCAGAATCAGGGATGATGTACGCTGAAGACGGTAACAAGACTTGGGATATTCAGAGAATATACAACATTTAAACGGTTGAACGTACTCGAAAAGCTCCCAGACGGTATTGATGCCTTCCAACTTCGCATACCCATCCTTGGCGTAAAAACTTTTATACGTTGGTCCTGCATCGAAATAAGAAGCCAGAAAGCTTGTCCTCAGTCAGAGTGGCAAAGATGCACTCTGTGCAGATGTTGCAAGTCCAAGAGATTCACCTTTAGAAAGCACCCCTTCTGACGCAGGCACAGCATCCGCTGTCTTGATCGCCCACTTCATGGCGCCTTCCCCAGCAGGAGCTTCAGCCATGGCTGCAATTTTAGAGCCACGGAAAAAATACTGCTCGTGACTGCAGCAGAATCAGCTGCAAACCTGTAAAGATAGGAAATGCCGGCAGATCAACCCAGGGGGAGGTTGTGTCTGAACTGGCTCACTGAATTTTAGATGACTGGCGAAAAAAACTTAGGGATCAGTCAGTTGGCGACAAGTTTGATTGACAGCAAGGCGATGGATGTAGACTGTCAGTTGGAGAAGATACGCATTTGCGAACAGCCAATTCGGCAAAGGAAAATAACCAATCATGAGCGTCGCGCCACACAAAGTTCGAGGAGGTTAAAGTTGTTTTTTCTGGTCGTAACCAGGTTTAAGGGGTATCCATTCCTAGATGAGCACGTGCTAACCCCTACTTGGGGCTGGCAGAACACGCCTGCACGGGGGTGGGTTCGATCCCAGGACCTCATCTATCGGAAGTGCCTCTTTCTACTGACTAGGCCACTTCTGGATACAAAGTTTGAGGAGGGGATTATTTTACATCTCTTTCATACTCAGCCGCGGTTTTCTGCTGCTGTCCCGAAACTCACAATTTGATACCACAATTCGTTTTACAAATAATGTGTTATCTGGATCTCCGACTCCAAAATGTCCCAACTTCTGGAACTTCGGTGACTATAGTGGTGCCTCCACTACAATCTCCCATCATTCCCTCCTGCTGGCCCAAATTCCGACAGAAGCCATGGCTGAAACAGGAAGCTTGTGTACAAATGCTTCGAACAGGAAGCGAAAAATACCAGTCCAGACTCAGCACACTGGAAATTCGCGGGCGCTTTTTAGGACCAGCGTTTTTCTATGTCCATCGCCCTTTGATAGACTGGCGTTCTAGGATCGTCAACCACAAGACAGCCAGCAGCTAGCGACATGTCGCAATATTGCATCGTATCCCATGTCCAGCCTGGTACCCTGTTGAAGCGTACGACCTATCATGGTCGCAAGCGTCGGACATTGCAAACAACTGATTTATTCAACTCACAAATTCCTTGTCGGCGACCTCTCGCCCCGTTAGGATCGCTACGCCAGAGGCTCAACCATTCGTTTTCAAATCATAATGGACATAGAAGTCTTTCTGGTGCATTGTCACAGCGCTCACAGTTACACCGTTCGATGCGTCCTGAATCACACCGTCATCGGACGGCTACACGAGCGTCGTCAACCAGCGGGAATGCTGGTCTAGATCCATCAGTTGAGCACAGCACCATGGTGAACGAGGAGCTGCTGCTCTTCTTCTACCAACTGGATCTTAACACCAGGCTTCAGGTGAGGAAACTTTTCGCTGCTTTTCAAATCAAGGAAGCTTTCACATGCCAGCAGCATCATGCGAGAACTACAGTCTGCAATGTCGATTCCACTAGACCAATACCACTGTTTTGCCTGGAAAGGTAACTTCTGATCCTCCTTACTCGTTCCGCAGAAAGCGCTCAACTTGGACCAATACGAACCTGCTCAGCTACTCCGGGAAAAGATTGCGGAGGTAAGACCATTGATGTGTTTCGACTACTCCTGCGTAATCCAGGTGAAGGTCGCGTATCGTTCTCTTCGTATCCGTCTCTTACTCTCGGCCGCCTTGTTCTCTGATTATCCTGCTGTGGCAGCTTGATCGTGAAATCGCACGACAGAGAGAAGCAAAGATGGGAACTTCATCCAAAGAAGCAGCTCAAGACAAGGGCTTAGCCTTGTTACGCCTCAAGTAAGATCATCTGTCAGGAACTTCGTTCACAGATTCTTCTTTACCATTATCTTGTGCGTAGATTATTATGTCTGCTCCATTATTTCTCTTGTTGTCTAATTTATTATGTGAATACTGGATGCTACTGACAGAGCAGCGCTGCAGCGAGCGGTGGAGCAGGAGCTGTACGAGGAAGCAGCTGAAATCAAAGAAAATGAGCCAACTAGAGGTGCGTGCCTTGCCTGCAAAAGTAGTGACTTCGCAGCAGTGGACCGATTGGGGTGTCAGAAAAGTTCACTGCTGCACTAGTGAGCACTGTTTATGCATAATTATGAAACTTTTTAAGGAGTGGAACTCTCTATTTTGCAGGGTGACACGCTGGCAGCTTCTGCTGCAGCGTTGGCTATGGGCAACGTCACTTACAAGCTCCGGCTAGGGCAGAAAGTTACTCACAAAGAATTTGGTGAGTCCTTGTTCAGAGAAGTCCCTGGCTTGTGTCATAATCTCAACTGTGAAGGCCTAGCCAAATAGCTCCCAGGGCTTTCCGTTCTGCTGTGCCTGGATACAGTCTCCGCTTTCTTAGCCCAACGTGTTCTTTGTCGAACCTCCGCGTCCTTACCTGTTCGCACAGGCTATCGAGGCATTGTCGCGGGGATGGACCCCATGTGCTGTGAGACGGAGGAGTGGATGTCGGGAGCTAAGATAAGCCGACTTTCGCGGGGTCCCAACCAGCCCTTCTACCAGGTTCGTCTGGATGGACATGTGTAGTGATGCAGCTGCCCTGCCACCTCGCTCCGGCTTTTGTTTGTGTTTTGTTTACGTCAGCAGAATGGCCGTATAACTCATTGCCCTTGTCTTTTACCCTTTTTGCAGATCTTACTTGACTTGGGCAATGGAGCTAGGTTTCCAGTTGCATATGGTAAGTGGATTTTCGGTTCTTGGCCAACTCGCGATCGCAGCCTCTATATTTTGTGCTCCACAGGGTCATCACGTATCATGGAGTTGATGGCAAGTGGTGTACCTTGGTTGTTTGGCTGGCAGTTGCAGAGGACCTGCTTGACGTCCCTGAGGAGGCTGATAAGGTAATTTGTCCCACCCTCTCCCGCCCACTCCCTATCAACCTTCGGTCTGTCAACACTCCCTCTTATACCATGCTTTTTTTCATGTCATGTCATCTGCATTTCATCTATCTGCTAACATGCTCATATCATCCCTTCTTCCTGCAGGAGCAAATGATCCACCCATACCTGTATCTTTTATTTTACGGAGCTGACTCTCGAGGCGACTTTATTCCGTGCAAGCCTCTTCGGGACAAGTACAATGCTCCCCGTCATGAGGTCCCGCTTGAAGACGACACCGACTCTGACAATTCGTGATGTTTAGTCCACACTATGTGTCCACCAGTGACTAGCATAGCCATTCAGAGCACATTTGCTTCAGGTGAATACCGTAACGAGTTTCTTGAGCACACATTTACTTATTGTCCACCGGATACGTGGATTGAACACTGAAGTTACCAGTATTTGCTACCATTGTACATACAGCAGTACATATTCTTTCAATTGTTGTCGCCTCAGCTCACACGTCAGACAAGGATGCGACGTTGCTGCTCTCGCCAAATATCCTTTCTCCAGGGCATATCCATATATTAAAAAATGTCGTGCTTGTTGCATCTCCTGTGTCCAGTTGAGACCAGTCTGCGCAAATCCTCAAGTAATCATCTGGCGAAGCACTCGTGCAAATCAGAGCTGCACTGCCCACAATAGATTCACAAGGACATTCTTTTGAATAAATGGAGATATACACAGATCATGTACAACTTGCAAGACACAAAAATGGACCGCAAGGCCTTTCAGGCCATTGCCTATACACTGCCCCATCTAAATGGTGGCTGGAAGCACGGTACCACATGTACAACCCGAGGTATGTAGTGTCCAGCATAGTGAAACCATCCGCGACGTATCCACAACCCTCTCTATGAACATTTGACACCGACCGCTATCACGTGAGCCCATTCGCGATCCACCAACTGCTGGACATTAGGACGGAAGCCAACCATCTTTGGATGCAGGATCGCGTACGATGTGAGACAAAATATGAGATGGCATTTCAGGCTGAAACCCACCACGAGTCGCCAAGCATACTACGCCGAGCAGTATCAATGCGGCAGGACATGGATTTCACGGTGGATTGAAACCCGTGGCCCTCGTTGGATAACGAGCATGATCCGTCAGCGAGACTCCGTCTCATCAATGGCGAGACCTGCTGCGATGAAGCCGACGATTCCGAAAGGCTGCGGTTGCTCATATGAACAAAGATCATGGTGACGTCTTGTGTCTCCGCCATGATTATGGTGTTAAGCGTGAAAAAGGGTGACGCTTAGGAAAAATGACCTCGAAGAAACGGGCAAATCGGGCACGAAGCCGTAGAAGACGGTGAGCAGCAGCAGGTGACGGCTCCTGAGCAGACGAAGGAATGTGAAATTAGATGACCAGTGAACTGTGCTTGAACTCAGTCTGGTTCAATATGAATGAAGGGTGCAGTCTGTGGTAGGTATACTGTACTTCTTTCAGGTGGTTTGGTTCAACGACAGGGGTGTTGTGTGTTCGTTGTGGGTGAGGTTTGGCGGAGAACGAAGGGGAAGATAGCGTGTAGACGGTGGTTTGTGGGGACCACCGCCGATCGGACTACACGTATGCAGTGCGGAATCTCCGCGAGTTGACGCGCTGTTTGGGGTGGGGGTTGGTTCGATCTGCCACGCCATCGTACCGCGTCGGTCGATGACGAGTAGCCGATTCGGAAGGAGGGAGATGGAAGGAAGGCTGTGCGCGATGCTGACGGCAGGTTCAGGCTGGACACTTCCACGTCGGTGCAGATGAACTCGACGAGGCACATTTGACAGCTCAAAAAGTGGAAAACCGATGGTGAATACGGGAAATGACGCTGGATCTGAAATGGTCGCTCGGAAGCCAGCAGAGTGCCACGTCTGGGCCTAGCTGGGCACGAATGCAGAAAGTGCACGTTTGAATCCATGGTTGCTGGTTCAACAACTAGATTCGGATTCAGGTGGAGGAACCTGGTCAGTCGAGCTCAGAAACGCGACATTGTGGGATCTGATTGTATCACACTACATGAAACAGCCGGAAGTTCCGTTACAGATAAATTCACCCAAAAAAACCGGGATTAGCGCGATGTCATTCAATCTTCAAATCAGATACCTAGAATCAGCAATAGGTTCCACTGTACCTATGACGACGCGGTATCCCTCATCCTTGCTGCTACGATCAGAGAATGATCGCTTACCAGGATCTACTCGGGAAGGTTCGCACGTAGGTAGATAGTTGGTGGGCCCTTGACCTCAATAGCAGAGTGAATGTAAAATGCTTTGAGATGATTAAAACATGCAAATACAGCAAATATAAATATGAGTACAGGAGAATGCGAAGCGACCTAACTAGCCATGTACTCTAAGGGGTACATTCCCTTATTCAAATACATTCCCAACCGTGCGGCGCGTACAGTTACGAAACTGTTCCCGCCGAAACCATCCTGCCTGCAGCTGCCCGATGCCGTCTGCTCCGACGGTCCAGATGCGCCCCAACTGTCTGACGCTTCGAGTCAATCTCCAACCGTCTGACGGTTCGCGTTCTTGCTTCGATACTGCGTGCTTCTCTTTGCTGCGGTGAGGAGTGTTCAGTAACAATTAAATTGTACTATTCGTAACACTTGCTGTAGGTAGGAGGCATGTAAAGGCCCTGTTCAATTGCACTTCATTCTTTTGTACAGCCCCACCACAGTATAGCCGAATCGGCCTAGGGTTTCCGAACCTGGGGTCACTACCTTCCAGATGCAACTTGACTTGGTTTACAGTTTTGATAGGTGCCCGAACAGCCCAAGTCGCAACAGTCAGAACCGCGTAGTCAATGAATAAAACAAACTGACACAGTGCGCAATTCAATTGATCTAGCAAAATCAGATACGACAAATTGTTACACAAAATTCCAAAATAGCACGTGTTGAACTTCGGAGAACTCACTGCTGGGTATTTGAAAGATGAAAATTTCACATCACAATGTACCCTCTGTTGAGATAGCTAGGCAAGGTGAGTTGACTATCGAGAGAAATTTTACAAGTAGGAAAACCCTAAGGGGTTATCCCCTATAACATCTACCCCACTACAGCCTACCAATATGTATCACACATATATATCATTTGACACACCCCCATAGGCAAAGTGGGGGAGAGCAACGGGTCACAAGACCAGTCAAGAGAAACAAAACAAGCTCAGGGTGGATCACAACGTCACCACACATTCTGAGCACAAGCAAATGGCCACAAGGCCAGTTCACATGCAGAGATATATATGCAGCAATGACAGTACAGTGTCGAGCTACCTAGCAAGAGCCAGCATGCAGGTATATATGTATATAGATCACAGTACAAGCAAAGACTACAGCAAGTGTGGAAGCATAGGCACAAGGCCTAACAGAGTACAAAAACGCTGATGATCACCAGACGGAAGTGCCTTGGTGAATATATCAGCAGTGTTGGCCCGAGTGGCCACGTAACGAAGACAAAGCTGGCCTCGCTGCTGCAACTCTCGAGCCAGGAAGTAACGCAGAGCAATGTGCTTCGTTCTGTGCTCCAGTCTGTGCTCCTCACACAAGGCAATGGCGGCCTTGTTGTCAACGTACAGCACTGGAGGAGAACGAGGCTGCTCTCCCAAGTCAGTCAGCAGGTAGGTGAGCCAGCGTAACTCCTGTGCAGCCATGGCGGTGGCGTAGATCTCAGCCTCACAACTGGAGCCAAGAACTGAAGACGAGCGTGTAGAACGCCACGAAACTGAACCAGAGCCAAGGCTGAAGGTGTAACCCTGTGACGACCGCTGAGTAGCCAGGTCGTCAACCCAAGAAGCGTCTGAGTGCCCAGTGAGGACAACTGGGCTCGTCCCTCCAAGCACTAGCCCCATGCCTGATGTGCTGCACAAGTAGCGCAGTACCCTCTTAGCAGCAGCCATGTGCTCAGGTCGGTGTCGACCAGGAGCCACGTAGCGAGCGAGGAGACCAAGAGGGTACGCGAGGTCAGGTCGAGTGCAAGTCATCAGGTACATGAGGCAGCCGACTAGCTCTGGGTAAGGACCACTCGGCTCTACGGACTCGTCCGAAGGTGGAGCTGAGAGCGTGTGACCTGTAGCCAGAGGAGTGGCCTGTGCTGAAGACCAGGTGAAGCCGAAGCGCTGAAGGACCTGCTGCACCATGTGTGACTGAGTCAAGGTGATGGTGCGGCGTGCTCTGTCCCGGGTGATCTGCAAGCCAAGGTAGCTGCGCAGCTCACCCAAGTCAGTGCACGTGTGTCTCTTCTGTAGCTCCGACTTCACGTGGGCGAGAGCCTCAGTGTCAGCAGTGGCAAAAACCAAGTCGTCGACGTACACGAGGATGTAGAACGGCGGCAGTGAAGTGTCTGTGCGCAGAAACAGCGACGGGTCAGCAGTAGAAGGCGCAAACCCAAGAGCCGCAAGTGTCGTCCTCAGTGTGTCGTGCCACTCACGTGGCGCCTGGCGGAGACCGTAGACCGGCCGTCGGAGGCTCCACTGGGTGCCAGGAGGGAACGACCCAGTGAAGCCCGGGGGGCGGCGCAGCCAGATCTCCTCGTGCAGGCTGCCCTGTAAGAAAGCAGTGCTGAAGTCAAGAGAGTGAAGCTCGTAGTCACGGTGAGCAGCAACGTGCAGCAGCACCCGAAGAGTGGTCATCTTCGGGGTGGGGGAGAAGGTCTGGAAGAAGTCAACTCCCTCTCGCTGACTGAAGCCTCGAGCCACGTAACGCGCCTTGAAGACAGGCGGAGAACCCGGCGGCCGCTTCACCCTGAAAATCCACATGCCACTGACGATGTTCGCCCCAGGTGGGGGAACCTCGTCGACATAGGTGCCTGTGGACTTCCAGGAAGCCATCTCTGCGTCCATGGCTGCCTGCCACTGAGAGGAGTAGGGACTCTCTATCGCCTCTGCGTAAGAGCGCGGAGTCGGGATGTCTGGTGCATCCGGGTCTCCCTCAGGGGCAAGTAGCGAGGACACAAGATGAGGTAAAGCAGCAGCAAGACACTGGAACTCCTCCTGCCTGTCCTCAAGGACGTCCGTGCTAAGAGCACACTCACCCCCGACGGACGGAGGACAGACAGACGCAGACTCAGTAACAAGACCGGCGGCGTAGTCTAGACGACAGGCAGCAGCAAAGTCAACAAGCTCAGCGACAAGAGCAGACGCAGCAGTAGACTCAAACGACGGGTCAGTGACAACAGTGGCTAGCAGACGCGTGACAGTAGGGTGCTCAGCACGAAACCGGTCAGACTCAGGGTCTGGAACGTCAGGTAGAGAGGACGC